ACCCACTGTCCTCATCCATAGATGCACGATTTTTGTTCAGTCTCTTCCCGCATCCCCCTCTTCCCTTTCCCCCCCAAGAATAGTCAGTCCATTCCCTTTCTATGCCCCTGATTCTATTATAATAACCAGTTCATTCTGTTCATCTGATTCTTTATTCACTTGATTTTTATATTCACTTGTTGATAGATGTGTATTTGTTGTTCATAATTTTTATCTTTACCTTTTTCTTTTTCTTCTTCTTCTTAAAGGATGCCTTTCAGCATTTCATATAATACTGGTTTGGTGGCGATGAACCCCGTTAGCTTTTTCTTATCTGTGAAGCTCTTTATCTGACCTTCAATTCTGAATGATAGCTTTGCTGGATAAAGTAATCTTGGTTGCAGGTTCTTAGCATTCATCACTTTGAATATTTCTTGCCACTCCCTTCTGGACTGCAAAGTTTCTGTTGAGAAATCAGCTGACAGTCATATGGGTACTCCCTTGTAGGTAACTGACTGTCTTTCTCTTGCTGCTTTTAAGATTCTCTCTTTGTCTTTTGCTCTTGGCATTTTAATGATGATGTGTCTTGGTGTGGTCCTCTTTGGATTCCTTTTGTTTGGGGTTCTCTGCGCTTCCTGGACTTGTAAGTCTATTTCTTTCACCAGGTAGGGGAAGTTTTCTGTCATTATTTCTTCAAAGAGGTTTTCAATATCTTGCTCTCTCTCTTCTTCTGGCACCCCTATAATTCGGATGTTGGTACGCTTGAAGCTGTCCCAGATGCTCCTTACACTATCTTCGTATTTTCAGATTCTTTTTTCATTTTGCTTTTCCGGTTGGGTGTTTTTTGCTTCTTTGTATTTCAAATCTTTGACTTGATTCTTGCGATCCTCTAGTCTGCTGTTGGGAGTCTGTATCATATTGTTTATTTCAGTCAGTGTATACTTAATTTCTAGTTGGTCCTTTATCACAACCTAGAGGGTCTCATTAGATTTCTTGTAGATCTCATTAAGTTTATCGGCAGTTTTTAGAAAATTCTTGAAAAACCTTAAAAGTGTGGTTTTGAACTCTATATCCAGTAGTTTGCTTTCCTCCATTTCTGTCATTTGTGTCTTGCTTCTTTGTCTCCACATTTTTTATGCTTGCCTGTGTTGATAAAGTGGTTTTCTGTGCTAAGTGTCCTCTAGGGCCCAGTGGCTCAGCCTCCCCAATTACCTGAGGAGGACACTTTTGGTGCACCCCCTTGTGGTCTTTGTGCACAGTCTTGTTGTAGTTAAGCCTTGCTTGTTGTAGTTAACACTGGGAGGGAATGACCTCCAGGCCAATTGTCTGTGAGAATCATCTGTGTCTGCAGTGGGAGAACTTCTATGCTGGAGACACCCCTCCGTGGCAAGACTTGCTTCAATGGGGCTTTGGTGTTCACTGGGTCTGCCCCCTGAGTGTGTCCTTTAAAGGTCCGAGAAGCTGCAAACTGGATGGTCCCACTCTGACCACCGGGCACACCGGCTCCTGGATCGCTAGAGAGGTGCTAATCTAGCCTTTGCCTGAGGCTACCCAGCAAAAGCCTCCCTGCAGGGCTTAGGCTGGGCGGGTCCCACAGGCGAGCAGTTTTTGGCTGCTCTCAGTCCTGCCCTCATAGGCTCTGCTTCTCAGTGACCCGGTAATCACTCAAGCACCTCCGAGAGAAAGCTGCCCTCGAGTTCCGACCGATGCCAGACAGTCCAGCTTCTCCCATCTGAGTCTGGGAGACTCGCCGGGAACTGGAGCTCAGAACCTGAGACTCCCTCCCGATTGAAAATGACAACCGCGCCCTCAGCCGCCAGCCCACTCCACGTGCACCTCTTTACCTTAGTATTTTACTTCCGCACCGCACCTCCTCTGAGTCTCAGTATGCTTTTCTCTTTCCTTCTAGTTGTAGAACACTTAGCCAGCCTTCCTGTGGTTCTGGATGATGTCCGTTCCATATCTTAGTTGTATTTTTGAAGTGGTTGTGCGAGGCAGCAAACTCCGGTGTTTACCTATGCCGCCATCTTGGTTTCTCAAATTTCTTCTTTTTAAGCTTAAATTTACTTCTAAACAGCATTCTTTTTGGCTAGTGCTCATTTGCATATATATGCAAATTTTACTTAGGACTTTACTAGAACCAGTTGCTCATAAACTATTGGCTTCTCATATGAATGAGTTTATATGAGATCTTGATTATATCGTGAAAAGCTAACTTATCAAGTAATTAAAGTATGCTCCTTTATTGAAAAAGCAAAGTAAGCAAACTTACACATTTGACCCATGAAGTACAGATTGCCCAACACCCCCAGCCAATTTGAAAAGCAGGCTGGGTGGAGGTCTGAGGCATTATGTACATTCTTATCTTAAAATTCCGCTGCTGAATATTCTGGTTTAGCTTAAAAATTATCCAGCAACCTTGTCCTGCCAGGCGTGGAGACTGAAACCTCAGGCTTTCTTGCTCAGAGAAAAATGGCCTGTAGCCCCCTTTTATTTTATTTTCCCCTTTCCCCCTCCCTTTCTGTATTAACTATTTGCTCTGTCCTTGGCAGGCTATAAACTAGTGGTCTTGCCTTTATTTATTATTACAGGTAGGCTATAAATTAACTAGTGACCTGGCCTTTGTTTAAACTTTCCTGGAACTTTTATGAACCTTTTACAATTCTTGTAAGTAGTTAACTTTAGAACTTATTTCTTTCTTTTAACATTTCTCTTTTCCTTCTCATCACATATGCAACCTTCACAAATTTCACACTTTCAAATTAGCCTTCAAACCTTCCATGTCCTTCAAAAATGCATAACTACTCTAACATTCTGTCTTTCTGTCATACCTTCAGCAACTTTTCTTTCTTTTTTCTTTAAAATGTATTAGAATTCTTCACTCTTAGAAACCTTAATTTTTCAATGATAACCAAAAAGTAAACAGCCAACATTTCTTAGACTGACATTTATCAACACACTTTAAACACACTCTTACTTTCAGGAAAATATACATTCAGAAAGTGTAAGAGACCTTCTGTAATAAAAACTAAGAGCCAGCTAATTAAAATGTGTCTAGCAATTAATGTTTCAATATTTTGTTATTTTAGATATTTATCATTTAACCCAGCAATGCTCCAAAGCCTTTAAGTTATCCAAGACTTTGGAAAATTATGTACAGGCATATGGGGCTGAAGAAAAGGTGAGGTGGGGAGAGAGCAGGCCCAGCAGCCTATTCCCAGGCCTCTAGTGGCTTGGATTTAAAACTGTCAACTTTTCCTTAGAGATAATATGCTAAGGTTTGGGTGATAATGAGAAAAGAGTGAATGAAGGTATTTAGTAAGATGCAGTGTAGAGGTGAGGCGGCTAATGGCTGTGAGACTAATCCACCAACCCCATAATAGAGACTGAGGAGTAAACAATGGTCCCAGGAAATTTGGAGAGGGCAGAATAAATTCGGAGAGTGGCCTTCCCTTCCGCACCTGGAGCAGAGCCTAGGTGGGTGTCTCAGGTTTGAGCAGGACTTGGCTCAGTGTCCTTCCTTGTTGCATTTCAAGCATGGTCCTGGAGGAGGTTTAGACCCTGACTTACCCTTGGTTGAAGGACCGGCACTTGGTTTGGGGTTCATGAGAGTAGTGGCTAGGAGCTGGAAGGCCTCCTTCTGGGCCTCAGCCTTGGCCTGATCTTGTCTTTGTTTTGGGATTTGGGTCCCTTTGTCTCTATTATTAAAGACCTTAAAGGTCAGGTTAATGAGGTCTTTTTGAGGGGTTTGTGGACCTGTGTCTATTTTTCAAAGTTTATGGTGTGTGTCAGGAGCTGATCTATAATAAAAAAAAAAAAGTGTAATTAGACCAGACGTCCTTCCGATGTCCTTCCAGACGAAGCTGGGGCTGTTGCTTTGAGGGCCAGGGCAGCAGCCAAGGTGGCAGCCTCGGCCCTCGGAGCCCCTTGCATGAATTTTGTGCATTGAGCCTCTAATTGGGATATAAAATGGGTGTTCAGAAGAAGGGTTTCCACTGGGAAGGTGGGGTCTAAGGTGGTAAATTTCTGTAGAGGAGGACAGGAGGACACAGATGTGGTGCCAGGTCAGGTCATGGGCTGGGTCAGACACTCAAATTCCTTAGTAAAGGTGGTCAGGTTAGTGGAAGAAGACCTGAGACGCCTCAATCTGAGTGAGGCTGGACATAGAGAATGGGATGTGGACTCAGACGATGCCCTCAATTCCTGCTGCCTCCCTCAGGAGTGGAATTGGCGTGAGAATAGAAGAGGCTGTTGAGGAAGGCAGACTTTGGGTGGCCTGAGAACGAGTGTGAGATGGGAAAGGCTGTTTTGGAGCTCATGTTCTCAGGATTTGGGCTCTCAGGGAGTGGGGGAGAAGGTGGTTGCTGGTTAGGAGGGTCTGGGATTTGGGAATCTACTGCAGGTGAGGGAGAGGAGAGAGTGGAGGCCGGTGGTCTGCTGGGTCAAAAGTAGATTCAGAATTAGAAATGTTAGGGGTAAGATGTTTTGTGTGAAGGAGAAAGAGCTGATAGGTAGAGCAGGACTGAGAGGGAGGATTGGGACTGAAGGGTGAAAAAAGGGCTGACGTAGGGAATCTCTGACCGTTTTCCAATGCAGTGACAGCAATGATCTAAATTGCTTAGTGTGTTAAAATTGAAAGTGTTGTTTGCAGGTCTTTGAGACTTATTATCTAGTTTATGCTGTGGCCAAACAGTGTTACAAAATAAAATGAGGTGGTTGGGCATGATCTCCCGTGAGTGTGCAGAGGGAGTGTAGCGTGGAGAGAGGAAAGGTGAGTGACAGACAACAAATCCAAAGGTGACTGTTTAGGGCAGGGGTTCCTGCTACTAAACAAATCACCATGAGAAATGAGAGGTGACCCTCTTGACTGGGTGTCCCCAATCCAGAAGGACCCAAAGCCAAATGGCTGATGAATCTTCTGGCCTAGCACTAGGACTTTTGAGATGAGAGACTTCTGAGAAGTCAGTGAGAGAGAGTGGGCAGAAGACCCGGGATGAGGGCAATTGTGGAATGTCACTCACCTAGAGAAGACTGGCTGGTGTGGGATGGAGGGTCAGCATTGGAGAAGGAGAGATTTCCTGTCTGGCGTCCTCCTTGGCTGGCTGGCTGGCTGGCTGAGGGTGAAGGGGGAACCCCGTAAGGGTGGGAGGCCTGATTGAGGCTGGCAATCAAGTACCTGAGTAGGATTCGGAGGTAAGCCCAGCAAGAGCTGCCTCTGCCTACTGCTCTCCAAGTAGCAAACTCAGGGTGACCGAAGCTGGGGCAATGGCTCCCCATCCCCATGGAACCCTCCGGGTTTCGGCACCAAATGTTAGGTCCCCGAAGCAGGAACACACGAGGCCAGAATGATGAGGGATTGTGAATTTATTCGATCAGCACCCAGTGACGGGAGTCAGTGGCTTTTAAAGGATTTTTGGCGGGCTTTTCCTGTGCAGAGAATTCTTTGTGCATACCAGGAGGGGAGATAATGGGATGTGGTTGCAGCAAGTGAAATGTGGTCTCAGCAAAGGGAATAGCCATAGTGAAATGGCCTGAAAAGCCAGTTCCCAGGGGAGGGGTATTGATTCAAATCTTTGATCAGACCTAATACAGCCAAACAAAATCAAGTGTGGAATAGAGTAGAAACATTTTCAGACATGCAAGGAATTGTACCTCTCATATCCAAGTTCCCTAAAAGCAAAGCTTGAAGCAAAGGGTTATATATAGACCCTTCTGGAAGTTGGGACCCAAACACAGGCCCTTGACCCAGCTGCAGAATTCTGCCTCCTTCTGAGTGATAGAGGGAGTGTAAGAGGGGAAATGGGGAAGCCAACACAGGGATGGATTACTGAGTTGTCCACCACAAGTGACTAGTCATCTTAGAACCTTTATGAAATGCAACCTAATTATAGCCATCAAAAGCAAGAAAGGGGAAAACATTTATCTACTGTATACAAACAGAACATAGCTATTATTTTTATATTTGACAAAGCTTCCCATGTACTTCAAGTATATTAAATAGGCCTAATTAATTTAAAATTTATGTTTTATAAGGAAGGGAACAAATTCTGATGTATTCCAGGGACCCACTGGAATAACTCAAAGCCATTTCTAGGTTAAAAAGAGTCTTAAAATTTAAACACTGGCAGGTAGGAGAAAGGCTTTTTGTTGCATCCTTTTGGTAACTCCTGCTACTGAGACAGTACCTGACTTCTTTTGTCCGTTTTCATATTTAGAACCAAATAAGTAGCCCTGGTATTAACTAACAAAATAATTTGCTCCCCACTGTCAATTGTACCCAGGGCGCCTGTGGGGAAATAACAATTGGTTTTGAAAAATCAAGGGGAGCTCCTGGGTCTCTCACTCATCATCAGAATTACCCGTCTAGCCCTGACTGGTTTAGCTCAGTTGTTAGAGCATCAGCCCACAGACCCAAGGGTTGCAGGTTGGATTCCTAGTCAAGGGCACATACCTCAGTTGCAGGTTCCCTTATTTAAACACTACCCAGTGGCAGTGTTTAAACAGGGGAACCTGCAACTGAGGTAGGCGCGAGTGGCAGGCAATCAACCTTCCCAGTGTTTAAGTAGGGTCGCGTGTGGCAGACAATCAATCTATGTGTCTCTCTCATGTTGATGTTTCTCTCTCTCTCTCTCTCTCTCCATTTCTACCACCTCCCTCCCTTACACTCTCTCTAGAAATCAATGGAAAAAGTATCCTCAGGTGAGGATAAAAAAAAACACACACACACATACACACCACTCTGCTCTACCATCTGTCTACATGCTTCTCCTTTTCTCTCATTTCTCTTTTTTCTATCTCCAGTTCCCTTGCTGGGTTTGGGACAATCCTTTTTCCAATGCCCTTCCTCCCTGCAATATGCACACTGACTCTCACTTAGAGGTCTTTTTCTTTCATATGCCTCTGACTTTTTCTTTTTTTTCACTTCCTTAGTTCTTTCCCTTCTTGCTTCTTCCCTCTTCACAAATCTACAACTTTCCTATTACCTTTTAGTTGGCCTCTTCTTAACTCATTCAGAAATAACCAACTTTAGAATACCCTATTGTCTCCATATATATCAAAATATATCTCCATACCTTATACCTTTTATTACCAAAACCATATAGTTTTTTAAATTGAATTAGAATTCTTAATTCGTAGAAACCTTAATTTTCAGTGACAACTAGCAATCTTTAGATTGGCAAATTTATGAATCATTTTATAACTTCTAGAAACAGGTTTTTTCATTGGCAAATACACTCATATTTTCAAGAGACATAACAAAATATGTGAACCCTCTTTTTTAAACCCAGGCAAGACAAACATATATTTTATGTTAATAACTCTAAAAGACATCAACCAAATTTAAACCAGCTTTAATATCAAATATTTTCCCTGACCGCATGATACTAAAAAACAAACAAAAAACATTTGGGACAGTTTTATTTATTTTTACCACATACATAAACAGTATTACTCATAATTGTAGAGAAGGCAAGATTTTTCATTTGTCCATGACAAGTTTTAAGAAAGCTGGAGTGGGAGCTCGGCTGGTGTGGCTCATGGTTGAGCTTTGATCTATGAACCAGGAGGTCACAGTTCGATTCCTGATCAGGGCACATGCATGGGTTTCAGACTCGATCCCCAGTGGGGAACGTGTACTCTCTGTCTCCCTTCCTCTGTCTAATCAACAAATATGTGTGTGTGTGTGTGTGTGTGTGTGTGTGTGTGTACACATATATACATATACATATATATATACTAGAAGCTCAGCACACGAAATCACGTAGCCCCGCCCACCCACGCAGCCTTGCCTTGCTTGCAGCCCCCCCCCCACCCGAACTTCTTGCCAAGCTCCCAGCCTCGCCCACCTGTGCCAGTCTTTGGTCCTTAGGACCACAGGTTTTTCATAATATAGATAAGCTGGAGTGAGGCCCTAGCCAGTTTGGCTCAGAGGATAGAGCGTCAGCCTGCAGACTGAAGGGTTTGATTCCGGTCAAGGGCACATGCCTAGGTTGCAGGCTCAATCCCCAGTAGTGGGTGTGCAGGAGGTAGCTGATCACTGATACTCTCTCATCATTGATGTTTCTGTCTCTCTCTCCCTTCCTCTTTAAAATCAATGAAAAATTTTATTATTAAAAAAAAAAAGAAAGCGACCAGATCCAAGATGGTGGCCAGGAGGAGGCTGATGAAGGAGCTTGAAGAAATCTGCAAATGTGGAATGAAAAACTTCAGTAACGTCCAGGTTGATGAAGCTAATTTATTAACTTGGCAAGGGCTTATTGTTCCTGACAACCCTCCATATGCTAAGGGGGCCTTCAGAATGGAAATCACTTTCCAGCAGAATGCCCATTCAAATCACCGAAGATTACATTTAAAACAAACATCTATCACCCCAACATCGATGAAAAGGGACAGGTCTGCCTGCTGGTAATTAGTGCTGAAAACTGGAAGCCAGCAACGAAAACCAAGTAATCCAGACTCTCATAGCACTGGTGAATGAATAACCCCCAGCCTGAGCACCCCCTTCGGGCTGACCTAGCTGAAGAATACTCCAGAGACCATAAAAAAATTCTGTAAGAATGCTGAAGAGTTTACAAAGAAATATGCAGAATAGCGCCTGTGAACTAAAATCTGCCACAATTGATTCCAGGGAGTGTGAGCAGAGACCCGGAGCAGAGCATTCAGACACCCCGCAAAGCAGGACTCTCTGGAAAATTGCCACAGGCCACCACCTGGCGTTTGCTTGTGGCCGTTACTAACTTTCTACAGTTGTCTTAATCAAAATAGGTCTTAGGTAACCTGTCAAGAAAGAATTAAAACTTTAAGATGTTCTAAAAAAAAGAAAGCTGTAGTGGGGAGAGAAGAGATATCAGGCATGACTGACTTTAGCCACTTGAGTTTTGAAGGGTCATTTTTCCCCCTCACATTGAGGTGGGGCCATCTGCTCCTAAAGCATGCACAAGGTTCTGGGCAACAAAAAACACACAAATCTAATCTGAAACTGAAAGTACATCTCTCCCCCAAATAAAAAGGCCAGACTACACTGCCTTCTCAGGCACTTCTATCAAAGACAGACCAGGACCGAATCACCAAGGATCTCCAGGAAATCAGGTACCTGATAACTTGGTTCTGGTCTCTGAAGGGGAAGGGTCTCTGAGTGTGAGGACCCCAGGAGGGCCTCTGAGGAGAGACTGCTGTTTGGATGGCACTGGAAGACTATCTGAAGCCAGTGGTGATTGCTATAGTGGCAGTTATTCCAGAGCCAAAGCCACAAAGTCAGTTCTGTGTAAGAAATATTCTAGATAGGGAGGTGAAGTCAGACCTGGCAAATAGGGAACCATATCGAAGGACAGACATGCTGTCTATCCATCACTCTTAAATTTAAAACCTTAATCTTATATTGTGCAATTTATATCCCAGAATCCTGATGCAGTACTGTTGGTCCCTGTGTCTCATGGGCCCTTGTGCAAAAGGGCTCTCCTGCTTCCTATGGTTAGTCAAGCCTACATCTTCAGGTCAGAATAGGAATATACGTATTTCCCTCCTTCCCCACACCAACTTCTACCTTTCCTTCAAACCAAGAACCCCCTGAAAGCTTCCATGCATGTTAGCTCCCCTGATAGAAGTAAAGGTTGACAACACTGAGAGATGTTCAGAAGTATTGACTTAAGTTTGAGCCCCAGATTAACAAAACTTTGAGACGATCTTAAAAAACACCAACAACCGACACATTTGTAAAAGGACTCATAGTAACTTTTTAGGGGGAGTAAAACGTCAGGGCTTGTGAAGGATCCACTAAAATGTATCTGTTTTTCTCACTGGCCATCTGAGTGACACCCAGCTCTGCCTATGACCAGGATTAACTGTTTCTTTACCAGCTCCCTACTGATTCACTGCTCCCTGTGTGCAGGACCCAGGCAGAAGTCCTGGTTAGCTGTGCAGAAAGCACAGTATGTAGGACCGGGGCTTCCAGATTTGCAGTAGGGACTGAGTCATCAGCACACTCACAGTGGAACTAATGTTCATACCTCACTTTCATTATCTTATATTTTTTTGCAGTTAGTTTTGAACTTGGAGATGACTTCTCTTCTAGCCACAGCAGTTCGCTTTTTGATCTTAACTCAATGGCTAACACAACAGGTAATATATATCATCCTCTCCCACCCACATCCTGCTGACCAGCTTTTCCCTCACATCTTTAAAAGTGTAGAGTTCCCACCCTAACTGGTTTGGCTCAATGGATAGAGCGTCGGCCTGCAGACTGAAGGGTCCCAGGTTCGATTCCAGTCAAGGGCATGTACCTTGGTTGCAGGCACATCCCCAGTAGGGAGTTTGCAGGAGGCAGCTGATTGATGTTTCTCTCTCATCAATGTTTCTAACTCTCTATCCCTCTCCTCTCTGTAAAAAATCAATAAAATATATATATTTTTAAAAAGTGTAGAGTTCCCACAGTTGAGTCTGAAGCTAAAGCCATGTAGAGAGCACGAGTCTGAAAAGAATAGTTTAAATATTGGAAAACAAAACAGAGTAACAAAGCCTAGTTTATTCTTTTTACATTACTCACGGTATAAGATTGTCTTCATGTGTGTACCATACATGAGAGCTATGACAAGAACATGTCACATTTCATGCTAAGCAAGAAGTCCAGACTGTGGGCTCTGGGCGGCATCCAGTACTTGCAAATGGGTCCAAGAACACTACCTCTTCTCTACAGGTGACCGGCCGGGTACGACCAACTAATTCATGTGAGCTAGGGATGGCTGAAAATGCGTTTGATGATCAGTATGTGGGCTGTACTGAAGAAATGGAGGCAAAAGCACCCCAGCTGTTAGAAGAAGAACTTAAAGTGAATAGAAATTTAAGAGCAGAATGGGAAGAAGCAAAGACAGAATGGGAGAAAATAAAGAATAAAGCAGACTCTTCAAAACGACTCAATGATTCCCATGGAATAGCTCTAGTCGCCTATACTGGAAATATTGCAATAGAATTTAACAAAGCTGTCAGAAACTTCCGACAAAATACACATAAGTTTCAGTTCAAAGCCTTCCATTATTATTTGACAAGAGCTCTTCAGCTTCTCATGACAGGGGAGTGTTATACAGTTTATAGAGGCTGTAAGACAAAGTTTGATTACAGTGGGAAAGGAAATGTACGTTTTGGCCAATTTACCTCTTCATCTCTCTTTGAAGATAAAGCTAGAGAGTTTATTACAGGACATGAGGGAACACTATTTACTATCAGAACCTGCTTGGGTGTTTATATTGAAAGGTTCTCTTACTATACATCAGAAAAGGAAGTGCTAATTCCAGGCTACGAAGTGTATCAGGAAGTCATCCAAAATAACAATGACATTTCACTTGACAGGCCCCAAAAATTTAAGAGTAACTACAATTGCTTCTATATCAACAGCTCAGGTGAGTCTGGGACTATGTTCCAGGTGGGAGTGGGGGGACATCCTGAAATAGAAGTGGGATTTCTCTGCTACCAGAGGCCACCAGGGCAGAGCACAATGGGGCCTTCAACCAATTGCTGAGGAGTATTAGGTTCCTAAAAATACAGGGCTGATATCCTGGAATAGAGAGCAGCTCAGGCAGTTCCTCGTCCGGCCATGCTCTTAACTTCCCTGCTGTGCAAAACGGTCAGAAAGATCTGCTGGGCACCAGGAAACATAAGTTTGGAAACTAATATGTCAGGGGGTATAGGAAAGGTTTGGGGAGTTGGGAGACCTGTTCTCAGGCAGAACAATACAGCCACTGCAGTAATCCTGCCAGGAGATGAGGGTGCCTGAACTGAGCAGGGGGCTGTGGGGACCAAGGGAAGCTGGGGAACTGATGTTGTCTATGAGATATCCTAGGAGAAAGAGAGGATGGGGAGTATGGTTAGAAAACAGGATGGTGGGCCTTGAGATTTCCAGTGTGGATAGTTTACAGGTTGTGAGTTGTTTGGAGGACATTTCCATAGCAGTGGTTGGTTAGACTGAAGAGCAGGTGAATAGTGTTGGAGCTGAGGAAATCAAAGAACTGAAAGAGTTTGCACCAATGGGCCACATAGTAGACCCAATGCACAGGATGATACCTAGACGGATGAAGGTTAGAGATGGTAAAACCATCAGTGAAGGCATATGAGTGAAGACATATCAGTAGTGGCTGGAAGGCTGTTACCTGTCCAGCCCTATGATGTGTGAGAAAGTGCCACCAAGGGTTGCCTCCACTTTACCCAACCTTTCCCAAGGTGTTCTGGCTCTCAGGTTTCCTAGCATTTAAACCTATCATTCCTTCTGGCCGAAATCTCTGACTTCATGTCATATTTCATCCAATCAATTTAGTAATTATCTTTCACTATCTTTCATTATTTCACTAGCTCAGATATCACTTCTAATTATAAGGCTTCCTTGATACTCTCAGGCAAAATTAAATACCATGATCCATGCCATAAGTTTGGGGGCAGACAATCTTAATGGAAATCCAGGCTCAACAACCATTAGATCCGTGAATTTGAACAAGTTACCTGAGCAATCTATGTTTCAACTACCTCATTTGTAAAATGAGGATATAAATAGTAATACTTCAGTAGTGTGTCTGTGAGAATTTAAGAAGTCCTTAACTTATTTCCCAAGACATCGGTATTGCTTAACAAATATTCCTTTTTTGCCCCCATGGAGAACCTTGTGCGCATCTCAGCCATACGTTCACCATCTCTATGGTAATAATTTATTTACAGTCTGGTGATCTCTTTAGTGCCAGAGACTTTGTCTTCCTGCTCCCTCTGCACCCAGGGCCTTCAGTAATGCCTGGCTTGAATCAGGGCTCCAATAGTTGTTGCTGAAGGAAGTTAGGTTTCATTGAGATGCCAGGGTCCAGCCAGAAGTGGATCTGAGCTGCAGAGGGACTGAGTATCCAGCAAGTTTTAACCAAATTAGTCGTTATGCTCTGAAAGGTTGCTGGAAACAAGAGAAAAGTTTGAGGTAGAAAGGGACTGCATAGAAGGATTACTGGGAGACTTTGAACTTTTACCTGGAGAATTTTGAATTTGGCTCAAGCCTAATAAAAAACAGGACAAGCAGGCAAACAATCCAGCAGAGGAAAGGTGCTGCGCTCCCATCTCAGGCGCAGTGCTTGATGTTCATTCAGATTCAGGCAGACTGAGCTGAGAACCCCAGGAGAGGAGGCCAGATCCCACCCAAAGACTGAACTCGTATTAACACTAGACTAGAGTATATATGTTGCTGCAAAAGATGTATGTTCATGAGGTCCCGACCCAGAAACATATTCCTAAGTGGACAAAGACAAACATGGAGGGGCTCCCACAGTGGCCAGGTGTTGAGTGTTTCCTTCCACGTCCTGGTTGGATCAGGGTTCGGGATTTGAAAGAGGGGCCGCACACAAATGAGAGAGAAATGACACAAGATAATTTTGCAATAATGGGGGACCAGGCGGGCAAGTCCAGAAGGACTTCCACCTAAGCTCAGGCCGCTCCGATCTTTTATTGAGGTTGGGGTAGCCTTAGGTAAGGAGATTTCAATGACACACAGATCAGCAGACAGTTTCTGGGAATAGACAATATCTGATTAGCTCATCGGTAGTAGACAATTTCCAAGAATAGGCAGGGGATCTGATCAACAATAATCAACGAGGATCTACACAAATATCTAAGGAATTCAGTGAGCTAAGCTGGGGATAATGCTTTAGCTACCATTATCTAGATTAACTGGGTGGTGTCTAAATTAACTGGGTGGTGCACAGCCCTGACCTTTGCTAGGACTTTCAAGCCCTGACCTTTTGCTAGGACTTTCGAAGGCTACTAGCTTTCGGGGGGGGGGGGGGGGTGTCTCTGTCTATATTCAGTTAGTGAAGACAGTAAATGGTCTCTAGCAGCCAGGGATCTGCAGGTCCCATGCGGGGAAAGCCTTTCTTACTGAGGCACATGTGGCTGGGAGCACAGGGGCCTGAGAAGTGGGGATGGGAGAGTGTGAGGGGCCCATAGCCCTGAGAACTCAGTCCACTCAACGTGACCTTAAATTCAGAGAGCCAAAAGAATGTGTTCTCACAGTCCACTCCCTTTCTGGTATTCCTGAGTATTTCAGGAGCCCCTGAAAGGCAAAAGGAGAGTCTAATTGCTGGCTAAGTAAAAGGAACCCCTCGGGCTCACACTGGTGGTGTTTTGAGCCTTGGGGGAAGCTTGAAAAGTCTGGGAGGCCAATGTCTTAAGAAACACCATAGAGAAACCAAACCTTTCCTTCTCTTCCTCCCATTGCAGGAACAAAAGAAAGTTCTGCATTCATTCTGCTGCTGCCTGGCCTCCTGGTCCTGAGGCTCCTCCCTGCTGAGCTGTAACCTTGCCCTGCCTGGTGCCTGGTTCTGCATGGGGTATTGGGAAGGGAGGGACGCAGGGTCCGTGTGTGGCTTATGTTAGTGCTCACATCCCCCGAGACATCTAAGGGATCTTCTGGGTCTGACCGCAAAAGTATGCTTCCTGTCTGCAAATGCACTTACTACCTGAGATAAGTCCCTAGTCCAGGGGTTCTCAACCTGTGGGTAGCAACCTCTTTGGCAGTCGAACAACCCTTTCACAGGGGTCTCCTAAGACCATTCTGCATATCAGATATTTACATTATGATTCATAATAGTAGCAACATTATAGTTATGAAGTAGCAACAAAAATAATTTTATGATTGGCTCACACATGAGGAACTGTATTTAAAGGGCCAGAAGGTTGACAGCCACTGCCCTAGTCTCTCAACACTTCGCTGTGATTAAAAAGCAATGCTTTTACACACTGTCAGCAGTAACCGTCTTTAAAATGCAATTTAATCTTGATGAATGTTATAATCTAAAGCAATAAACCACTGATAATCACACCTTGCTTCTCTGTGACTAGATTTTACTACTAGTTGTATTCTTTGCCCAGGAAATTCTCCCCGGCATTAGAAGTAATGCTGTCATTTTCACAGTTGAGAAGTTTCATGTCTTATACTTCTCACAAATATCCTTGAAGCCCTGATTGATTGAGCCAGAAATACCAGAGCTGTGTTAGATAAATCCTCCCTGCACCACCCCACCAGAAACCCAAGCAGTCACCAAGCCCTGTCAACTTACTTTAACAATAGCTCTCTATTGATTGGGGAAGTATTTCTTAAGACAAAAAAAAAGCATAAGCTATAAAGAAATTTTTTGACATAGTAATAACAATATAACTCTAATGTATTGGGTACTTACTATGTATTAGGCACTCATTGTTCTCCATTGTTCTAAGCACTTAATATGTTTAGTCATTTAGCCCTCATAATAACCCTATAAGGTAAGTTCTATTTTTCTCCAATTTTACACTTGAGGCACTGAGGTTATGTAATTCACTGTCAAAGAATAAAACAAAGGTAAGGAACAAGGGAAGGGAATAGACTAGGGAAAGGAAGGGGGTGAAGTGTTAGGAGGGGTTATTCTAATTAAGCAGTGGAAACTAGTACTCCTCATAGGATAGAGTCCATAGGTCTGCACATAATTGGCTACAATAAATCCTAAATTCTTTGCAGTTAAAATCTGGCATACAGCCCTAGCTGGTTTGGCTCAGTGGATAGAAAGAAGAATCCCAGGTTTGTTTCCAGTGTAAGGCACATGCCTGGGTTGTGGGCTCAATCCCTAGTTGGAGGTGTACAGGGGGCAGCCGATCACTGATTCTCATCATTGATGTTTCTATCTCTCTCGTCCTCTCCCTTCTTCTTTCTCTAAAATCAATAAAAATATATTTTTTAAAAATCTGGCATACAGACCTGGCCGGTGTTGCCCAGTGGCTTGGGCGTTCTCCTGTGCATGGAAAGGTTGCCAATTCGATTCCCCTTCAGGACACATGGCCAGGTTTCGAGGGGGTTTGCAGGAGGCCACTGATCAATGTTTCTCTCTCTCTTCCTAAATTAAAAAAAAGAAAATCTGGCATACAGGGGTCATTAAAAGTTAATGATCAACTTCAGCAGAAAGAACCACTTTGATGAAATAAAGCATCCATTTTATGTCTGTTGATCTCCTAGTTGAAAAAGGCACATTGTTGCAAAACACCTGGGGAATAAATAAAGCAGAACCCTATCTGATAAACGATGAACAGGCAATATTAGAAGGATATAACTTCCTTCTTTCCCCTTCCTCCCCCAATTCCAAATCACAAACAGCAGCTAATTACAAAACCTCATCTGTTCTAGCCAACCCCACTCTGGCCCTGATGACTTCTGTTACTCTTGTTAAGAGTAATTCTAAAACTGAAAGGGACCATAGGAAATGCACATTCATACCCAGAATGCTTTCTTCCTCCTGAGCATGAGGATTCTCAGAGACCCACGGAGATCAAGGGTCCACAAGTTAGGATTCTGGCAAGACTTTCAGTCAAACTAAACCAACATCCAGAGGACACTCCAAGGGTGAGGGTATGAGCTGCTGGAACAGAATCAGTAGGTGGTCCACACCAGGGAGCTAGGAAGTGAAGGCCCTTCTTTCCTTCCTTGGAAGACATACCCTTGGTCTGTGCTGCAGGGGAGTCTGAGCTCATCCTATCTAATAAAAGACAAAAAGGGTAATTACCCATACCTCCGCTACACTTCCTATTGGCTAATCAGGGCTATATGCAAATTAACTGCCAACAAAGATGGCAGTTAATTTGCATATGTAGGTGCTAAGCTATGGAGCGAAGCCGGCTGACCCCAGGCAGGAGCAGTGAGCAAAGGCTGGTGTGGCAAGTGAAGAGCAAGAGGGGGGCCCGCTGGCCTGTGCGCGCAGGGCTGGGGGCTTAGCTAAGGCTTAGAGGATACTCCCTGGTGGCCCCACAGCAGGGCATCCTGGCAGCCTCCTGACAGGAGGGCGGCAGGGAGAGCCGAGTGGGGCAGAGGCTGTAGGGAGCCATGGAGGGGCAGAGCAGCGGCCGGAGCCAAGTTCCCGGGGGTCTGAGGAGAGTGCTTGACCGGAGCCTGGACTGCAAAGAATGAAGAGGAAGCAGCCACAGGGAGCTCTTCCAATCCCCCTGCACAGACACCCCACCGCAGCCCCCATACCCCCGGGGGGACGGGGAGGCTGACCAGACAGAAGACCCAGCCTTGGGAGTAGTTGCAGCCTGTATCTCTGACTCCCAATCTCTTCCCCTGCCACCCCCGCCAGGGGTGCCCACAACAATAGCATACCTGCGACAACCCGTCAGCGCTCCCGAGGCACCCGAAGCCTGTGGCCTGCTGCTGCTGGGCCCCCCCGCTGGGGCCAGGCACACCTCTCCTCCCTACAACTCCAGACCCAGGTGAAGGCAGGCCTAAGTGGCCCCTCAGGGTTAAACTCATTTCCCCCAATACCCCCTCCCTGACAGCAGTGGCGCCGTCTCCGCAGCAGAAGTGCACTGAACCTTTCCGGGGCGATGGCTAAACCTGCCTTCCTAGCCCACTAAGCTGTCAGTTGGACATCCCCCCAGGGCTCCCATACTGTGAGAGGGCACAGGCCACACTGAGGGACCACCCCCCCACACACACACAAATGCATGAATTTCGTGCACTGGGCCTCTAGTTAACATACAAGATACTGACTCGGCAGACACCAACACTGTTCTCTTAGAATTCAAACAACTAAGTTGTTCCAGATATTTCCTTAGGAAACAGCAACATGAGAAATGTTCCGGAGATACACTGCCTGAAGTGTTTGTGTGCAGGAGAAGGTAGAGGGGTTCTCACCCGAAGAGCAGCGTTGTGTAGGGATTAGAGAGGTGGTCAGTGCACCTCATGGTGACGGGTCAAGCGGTCATTCTGGTCAGTCAGCTGTTATGGTCACTGGGCTTTTATTATATAGGATGCTCTCAGTGTCCTGCCTGTATCTTCCTCAGACAACAATCTCTGTACCTGTGGGCTGTTCCAGAACCACAGAAAGCTGCCTCACTCACCCACATTCAGCAAATTGGAAGTGCTGGGGGATGAACACTTCCTGGATCAGCCCTGGGCCCATGACTGTTGAGACCTGGTGTAAAATACCCCAGCTCCCCCATCTCTCTAGTGAGATGAGTCTGAGGTATGCTCTGTACCCTTTCCTAGTTGGTCTTTGACAAGTTGGCTTAGGAACACACCCTTCTCTGGCTGCCTTCCCTTCCCTATGTCACTTCTCTGTCTCCCCTGTAGGTGGCCCCTGCATCCCCCAAATAAACTGCCTGCACTGGGATCTTGCAGTAGTCTGGCCATTGAGGGAACCCACACTGAGACACTTTGCCTGGCTGGTACAGAGACTGGTCTGGGATTGAGGGGAAAGTGGATATATGAGTGAAGTGGGGACAATCTGTTTCAGGACTTAGAGACCAGACTGAGAGGTTAGACTCGACCAAGGAGACCATTCATGCGCTGGGTGATATTTGAGTATTTTTCTTAATATTTACTTTTTCACATTTGATGTATTAATTCCTAGGTTTGTACAAATATTGCAGTTCTCATGGAGTTCTGGCTAATAAAATCATGCTGAAATCAGAGATTGCAGCCTTCATATCTATTAGTTGCCTGTAAAAAGAAACTGTAGAGAGAGAAATATTGTTAAGGTGTAACACAGAGATGAAATTCAGAGTGATGAAGCCATTCTCAAGACCCTGTTAGAGAAAAGTGAAGGCTGAGAATAGCAGTCACAAGACTATAGCTCTCATGAATAGACCATAGCTCTCGGGATTTTATTTGTAGCCATCCCTTTCAATATCTTCTTGCTTTGTAAAGTTATCTGGAAAGTCTCTTTTAAAACACTGGATCTTTACCCTGGCTGGCCTAGCTCAATGGTTAGAGTGTCGGCCTGCGCACAGAAGGGTCAAGGGCACATACCTGGGTAGCCAGCGGGTTTGCTCCCTACCCTGGGCGGGGTGGGTACAGGAAGCAACCAATGGATGTGTCTCTCCTACATTGATGTCTCTCTCTCTCTCTCTCTCTCTCTCTCTTGCCCTCCCTCCCTCTCTCTCTGAAAAGCAATGGAAAACATACCCTCAGGTGAGGATTAACAAAACACATTGGGTCTTCAAAATTTTAATATTATTTCCTATGGTAGGAAACCACAAATCTCAAAGCATCTACACTAACAAAAGCACCTACACAAACAAAGATGCTCATTGATCGTACCTTCGCTATGCCCATCAGCCAATCAGAAGAGTATGCAAATTAACCCAACAAAGATGGCCGTTAAATTTGCATACTGCAGCCTGGGCAGGACAGCACAATCCGCCTCCCCGCCCACCGGCCATCGGGGCCTCCTGTGTGCGACCCAGCGCAGGATCGGGGCCTGCCATCTGCGACCCGAGGCGGCAGGGCAGGCACCGAGGGATCGAGCCTGCCATCTGCCACCTGGGGAGCGGGCCTAAGCCAGCAGGTGGTTATCTCCCGAGAGATCCCAGACTGTGAGAGGGCACAGGTCGGGCTAAAGGACACTCCCCCTCCCTGCCAGTGCACAAATTTTTGTGTACCAGGGCCTCTGGTTGCATAATAATTGGTTGTCATGGGAAACTCCATAACTGTGACTGGTGTCTGTAACTCCTAAAGTATATAAATAGCCTAAACCCCTTTGTTGTGCAGAAGACACTCAAAATTCCATATCCGACTCTTCTCATTTAGGCCCAGAATAAAATTTATAAGGTTAGTGACTCTTTGTCCTAATACAACACATTTGGGAGATTTAAATTAGAAATGTGAAAAATCTATCATATGCCCCCTGCCTTGCAGGCTTAGAAACATGGATCAATCTTTCATTGAGGTATTTCTCTTGCTACAAAAGTTCAGAAACATAGAATCATCTTTTATGTGTGGACTCTTATTAGTCAATTTCACAGAGAATGCTGTATTAAAAACACACAGAATAACTAGGTTCGTTAATTTAGCTGGAACTCTTCCTGCAG